CATATATATAAACATTTTGTAACATCCTGATTTTTTATATAATAAAGAAATTGTGGAATTTAGGTTTTGAGAAAACAAAATGATAATAATAGGAATTTATATTATTTGAGGTTATTTAGAAATAATATTATGGTTAGGTATTTAATTATGAATTTAAAATTTAAATTTAAAATCACATAAGCAATATTTAGTTAAGATATAATATAAATAATTTTTTTTATGTATGTGTTGAAAAAAGAGAGAAGGTAGAAGGAACAAAAAAAGGGGGGTGAAAGGTTGTTGTTTCTAAGTCCCACATTGGTTAGATGAGGGAAGAGAAGAGGTGCCTTCATGTATAAAAAGGAGGGGGTGTGTGCATTAGGAAGCATGAGAGGCTAAGATGCAATTTAGAGAAAATTACAACTTTTGGCCCAAAGGTTTGAATAATTAAATTCAAACCTATAGTTTTTTTTAATATAATTTTGGGACTCACAATCCCATTTTTATATTATTTTTCTCTCTTCCTCTCACGTTGCTCGGCGTTTTCTTACAAGGGGGGATTATTTTCTTTTTCTTCAGGTATGTTCTAACTTTCCTGTTTAGATTAGCATTTAAAAATTTATTTAATTACAAAATTAATTTTATAGTTATTTTCTAAATAATATTAGCTTTCTAGTGATATGATTATTTTGTAGGATAGAGTAAATATTTTGATTAGGATTTTTCTATAGGATAGTTAATCTGATGATATGATGGATTAAAAATATAGGTTAAATTCTTAGGGATATAAAAAATATTATAGAATATTTTTTTAAGGTTGAAACTCATGTTTAAGAATTTTTGAGTTAAAATCTAGATTTATATGGTTGAATTTATGTGGAATCTGAGACGTAGGGATAAACCTATGATTATTAAATATTTATTTAAGTATGAATAGGTATTTTTGAGGTTATAGAAAGGTGATTTGAGGCTTCAGGATAATTCTAAAATTTTTAATTTATTTTGGATGAATTTTTAGAATATAGAAGGATGAAATTGTGATACTAGAAGTGAATTGAGGATAAAAAAAAATAGTTTATTAGGGTACGAGAATTTTAGAAAAGAATTTGAAAAGTTAAATGAGGCATAAATCTTAAATTAGTGTTAATATGTACTATAGATCTAAGACTTTCTAACTCTTTAAATTAGAGTTATTTATTTTAATGTAAAATTAATATATAGTATTGTGAAATAATTATGTAGATTATATTGACAAAGATAGTGGTGAAAAAGGAGTTGTGAAGGGAAACTTGTTATTCAAGACACAAGGTAACCATTATTAATGTGTTGTGATGAGTGTGTTTGTGAATGGTTATGTGTTGTTTTGTTGTTTGGAAAAATTATGAATTATTAAAAATAAATACTGTATATACTTGTTTGAAATTATTGCCAAGTGGGTTAAAATTTATTTTTGTTTATCATAATGAGATATTATTGTTCGGATATATTTCTGTTTGGATATTTGAATGATGCATGACTTGTTAGGGTATTTTAATGTATGGTGTTAATGGAAATTTCTGTTCGGTTAATTATTACCACGTGGTAAGCCCTCATTGGACCCAATGAGTGGCGTGTCGCTTGGTCCAACTCACCTTTAGCCGGGTGATTTGGCGTCCGAGCATGGTGAAAGGAGGATATAAGGTGCAGTCATGCAATTAAATACTTGTTTGGTTTGTTTGAAAATATTGTTCGGTTAAATGTTTTGTGTGCCCACTTAGCAATCGCATGATTAGTTACATCCGCATGCATCATTACATATTAATTTTTGGTTACTGGGACTTTTAAGTCTCATTCCCCGTGGTTAACATTTTTACAGGAGCGAGTTCGGTCGAGAAAGCACCAGAGGTGTAACTATGGTGTATGAAACACCATCTTTTACGTTGCCTCTTATTTTGGATTATACAATGTATCTTGTGCCAACTTAGGACATATCTTCTTTGTGAAGCATGTAAACTCTAATCCTTTTTATTAAAAGTATTTATTTGACCAAGAGGATTATGTTTGTCTCTCTTGATTCATGATCTAATTTAAATATCATGCTATGAGGACCCTAACTGTCCCTCATGGTTCTAATTGTTTTTTGAGATATTTTAAGACCTGTGGTATATTGTCTTGGATGTATCATGGTAAGAAAATTTTCTACCATGATAATGGTTTTAATAATTTGCGAAAAATCGGTTTGTATTTTTGAGGGTGTGTGTAAATGTTATAAAATGTACCCCAATATGATACTGGTATGTGTATGAGAGAGAGAGAGAGAGAGATAATAATAATAATAATAATAATATAACCGAAGAATCTTAAAAAAATAGGGAAAGGAGACGTGTTACTGAAGTGTAAGTACTGAAAAAACGGGAGACAAGCATCCTGTAAATGTTGCTATGCTTCCCAAGAAGTGGAACAAAGACGAGTTGAATAAGAAAGTGCATGCATGTTCAATTATTCTTTATTATATATATATATATATATATATAATGATTCCTAATATAAGTTTGTGAATGATTTTTATGGCAAAATCCTCATCATAGATTTTAATTCCAATAATTCCTCCCATCTTTCTGTGTCACTGTCAATATGCTCCACATAGATAATGTATTTAGTGTGTTAAAAAATCTGTCGATCATGCTTTAACCAAGATAATTAATATGAGAGCAGGTTTGTTTTAAAATTAAACAAACACCAGGTCTATGCATTTCTAAGCATAATTGACACACTTTTTTTTTATTATTATAATTAGATCCATACATTTTATAACAAAGTAATTGATCGGCTTGTTAAGTATTTTCACAAACGCACTTGTGTCATGCAATGGAATTTAGGCCCCTTACCTTACCCAACTTAATGTTATCACTTCAATCTCACTCATTTCTAATAAACATTTTGATGGTTATCTTCTAATTACACATATTAAGGCTATCAGAAAGCTCATCATGTGTAATTGAATTATCACGATTGATCTTATTTCAAAAAGATGAATACTTGAGTTGATTGGTTAGTTTACTATGTTAATCAAGATAAGTTTGATATTACTATTTATAATGATCTATCTCTAGAATGTAGAGACTTGTTACTAGTTGAACAAACTTAATTTTTAATTTTATTCATATAGGATTTCATTGTATCTTTTGTATTAAAAAAAAAACATAAAGGATAGAATATAATACAAAGATTCTCCTCTTCTTGTAACATGTCATCATCAAAATTAATTTAGTATGTTTTTGGCTAAAGAAAAAAGAAAAGAAAAGAAAAGAAAGGCTAGAGAGATAACATTAAAATTAAAATTTGTTTGGTTGGAAGAATTCCCACGCCTTTTTGTCCAAACCATATATGTCTTGTGGACAATACACAACAACAGTTTTTGCAAATTGCTATCGGCATTTAGCTTTTCTTCTAGAGGAATATATCCAAAATAAACACAATCTCAATTACATATATATTCTCTATTTGTCTCTCATCATCCTACTTGACGTATTCCAATGTCCTTTTTTTTAAGGAGTAAATTCCATTGACAACAAATGTTATCTCTTTTAGATACCCAAGGCAAATAGTCAGCAACGAATCTTGAAACACATGTGGAAGCCAAAATTGAAAATAACATAAAATATGGGGTTTAAGCTTTTTTTTTTCATTTTTTATAAACAAAAATTAAAAATAATTCTCAATGAATAGTTGCCCCCAACATTCGTTGCTACAAATGGCAAACTTCTCTCGTAAAATTGTTATATATATGAGGATTAAGATTTAGGCTCCAACCAATTACTTAAATAGTGAGAGCCTCCGCCATTTATGCCAACTATATTTAGTCATTCCAAGGTCCTTTTCAAAATCAAATGCCTGCCATTAATCCCAAAGTGGCCCTCCTGCAAACGTCCATCGGTCCATGATTTTGACATTCCTGATTGATCAATTTTGCCGACCATTAGACATCAACTTCCCCAAATTACACCATGTTCTCTACGTTTTGGATAATATTACATCATTGTTAGTTTCAGGAACAAAGTCAACATAAAAGCTTTTTGGTCTTATAACGTGATAAAAAGCTTAAGTGCAGAATATTTGCAAGGAACCAACTTTTAATTGTTGTACGCCATATAAACCTCCTTCAAAATGATATATGTAATGGACTTCTTTAAATATTTACAGTTTTTAAATAAATAAAAAAAAAATGATGTACGGTTAGTTTCAACTAACAATTATTGTTGATTTCTTGGCAAACAGGTTCATGTATCAAACCATTATAATTTGCATGCATCTACTAAATTTTATCCGCAAAGTATATCGGATATTTGATCTGATATACCTCCGAAAATTATATACACTGTTCACCATCCATTAAGTTTGAGAAATCTAACTCCACCTTTCTGTATGTAAATTTTCGAAGTTTCTCCGTGTCTACATATCTTAGTGCAAGACCCAAAAACTTTAAAAAAAAAAAAACAGAGAGAGAAAGAAAGAAAGAAAAGAAATACTTCCGGAAAGGAAGCATCTGAGTATTTCCAAGTTACACGGTATCTTACATGTCTCAAGTCTCAACTTGCAGTAGGCCGTTATTAGCCAAAGCCAAGTTGTTTTTCTCTAACGTGTGGATCCTGAGCTTCAAGCAGGATATGGATTCACTGATAGAAAGAGGCAGGAAAATTTTCACTGGAACAAGAAACAACAACGTAATATATCTGAACTAATTACAGCTTTCTGAAGGTCAACTTGCAAAATGCCGTCAAAAAAGAAGGGTAAACATTTAACAAGTTTTGTACACCAGCTTGTAAATAGTACAGAAAACAAACAATAGTACAAAATTTTTTTGGGTGGTTTTTTTTTTTGGGGGGGGGGGGGGGTGCTGGGGTGCTAAGGTGAGGATGAGAAAGAAAAAGATCTCTGCAAAGTTGATGAGAGGTGCTTCCTAAAGAGACACTATTTTGCATCTCTATTCAAGAGTTTCTAAATGTCTGAGGAAATGTTGGTTCAACTTCAAGCTGAGTGGTTCAGAAGCAGCAGCAAGCAGAAGCAGCTCGTTTCTTGGCGAAGTATTCTTCAGCCCGGGCAAGGTTTTTTAGCAACTGATGGCTTGACCCACTTCTTACGGCCGGGAAGAACAGTGAGTGAGCAGCCAACAGTCTCCAGCTTCTCCTTTGCTGATGTTGAAAATGCTCGAGCTTTTAGGGTCAGCTTCTTGCTTAGTTCTCCTTCTCCCAGAATCTGTAATCAAAGCGAAACAAACAACTTACTTTCATCATTTCTTTCCGTATCTAATACATTGTGCCCTTGTTTTAACAAGACCAAAAATGCATGTAATTACACAACCAGGTAAACTAATGCAATTGTGTCAAAACAGCGCAAAAAGGAATGATGATAAATTGAAAATGATTTTATCAATGTAAATGAAAACACAGCAGCTTTGTTTCAGGCAAGAGCCAAGTTGGGTATGTGAATCACCACAGCTAGCTCAGGCATCACATCTTTTTCCTTACTGCTTGCCACATGAATAGCTAAGCATCACTATCAAGTTCAGATCCACTGATCTGCAGACTTCAATGACGCTTCTCTCAGAGCCCAGATTGGGTAACACTCATACACCTCGGTAAATTAAACCACATTCTTTGCTATGATAGCAGGCAACAGAATTCCCAGTCACCATATTCATTAGTATTGCCAATATAATATGTAAACCATTTTTTCCCATCTGATACCAATAAATACAGAGGCGCAAATTGTGTACCTTGAGGGTTTGTTGGGTGTTAAAAGGGAAGTTAATAATAAAAAAAATTCATAGATATATTCAAAATATTATGAGCATAACATTCATAATAGAAACTTAATTTATCAGCAGAGTTTGACATCCCAATCAATTTTATTGATAGGTATATCCATATAAGTTTGAGCTTGATTAACACCAATGTAAACAAAACCCATGCTTGCGCACATGTAAGCGCATACACATTATGGATGGTGTGCAAATCACAGAACAATTTTAATTCCATTTTGTCAGTTTCACTTCACTGGCACATGCATCATATTCTATAACAGAATTATACCATGTCAGAAGCAGGAGTGAGAGAATGCTTAGAGAAGGAAATTTACATGTCAACAAATTAACAAGTCTGTACCTTCAAAGGAAGTCTCCTATCTCTCCAGATGGATTAATCACCACCTTCTCCTTCAATGTCTCTAGAGATACCTCTTCTCCATCCTTAAATCCAGCATCCTCTAATGTCTCTCAAATTCACGTGGACATATTGGGTAATCCGGCGTGCATACCTTATGATCAAACCAAAAATGGAAAAAACAACAGGAATCAGTATATGGTTTCCTAAAGGATATATATACACATGAACACGATGCAATTTAAAACAGATCCACGTATGTGTAGAAAATTTTTTGCACTTAACATGGTGTAGGGTGCATGCGTGAACCCAATTGTTATGTATGCATAACATAAGCATCAGACATCAACGGGAACACGAAAAATATGTATATATACACATGTCCTCAAATATTCTAAAGGCATGATGAACTATAGCATTCGCATTCTTTTATTCAGATATGGAAAGTTCGAGAGATAGTGTTGCATTTTCAATAAAAACATGATTTCTACTCCCCCACTAAGAAAGCTGGAGAAATAAAGATAGACATTTTTTGATTGACCAAAGAAAAGAAGATGGATTGATAATTTCATAAAAGACTGGTCCCAATTATAGTTCTCAGATGCAATTTGTATGCATACCGTCAAGAAATTGAACAAAACTTCAATTTACAGACATAAGTCAAGCAAAACATCATTCTTTGATGGCACAATTCTACTCAAAAT